CAGAGCAGAAGTTTTTAATTTAATGAAGTCCAATTTGTTATTTTTTTCTTTCATGGATTATGCTTTTGGTATTGATTTAAAAACTTATTGCCAGACTCAAGGTCATCTAGATTTTTTCCCATACTGTATTCTAGTTTTATAGTGTTCTGTCTTACATGTAGGTCTATGATCCATTTCGAATTAATTTTTGTGAAAGGTCAGTGTCTAGATTCCTCTTTTGCATGTGGATGGCCAGTTGTCCCAGCGTGATTTGTTGAAGACTGTCCTTTCTTCATTGAATTGCCCTTGCTCCTTTGTCGAAGATCAGTTGGGTCTATTTTTGGGTTCTCTATTCTGTTCCATTGATCTATTTGTCCATTCTTTCACCAATGCCACACTGTCTTGATTACCGTTGCTTTAGAGTAAGCTCTGAAATCAGGTAGCATCAGTCCTCCACCTGTGTTCTTCAGTACGTGCTATTTTTTTTTTTTTTTTGCCTTTTCATCTAAACTTTAGAATAAGTTTCTTGACAGCCACAAAATAATTTTTTGGCATTTTGATTGGGACTTGCATTTAGTCTATAGATCATATTAGGTAGAACTGATAATCTTAACAATATTGAGTCTTCAGATCCATAAACATGAAATACCTCTCCATTTATTTTGATTTTCTTTGATTTCTTTCACCATAGTTGTTTTCCTCATACAGATCTTATATAATAGATTTAGACTTATTCCTAACTATTGTTTTTTTTTTTTTTTTTTGTGGGGGGAGGGTGTGTTGCTAATAGAGGGATGAATGGGTGGGCATTTTAGGTCAGTGAAACTCTTCTCTATGGCATTGCAATGGTGGAATGGTGGACACATGATAGTCTACATTTGTCAAAATCCATGGAACTGTACAACTCAAAGAATGAGCCCTAATGCAAACTGTGGACTTCAGTTAATAATAGTGCACCAATACAGGCATACCTCATTTTCTTGTGCTTTACTTTAATGTGCTTTGCAGATACTGCTTTTTTTTTTTTACAAATTGAGGTTTGTGGTACCCCTGTGTCCAGCAAGTCTATCAGTGCTATTTTTCTAACAGCAGGTGCTCAACTTCATGCCCGTATCACATTTTGGTAATTCCCACAACATTTCGAACTCTTTCATAATGCTATTGCACATTTAATACACTACAGTATAGTGTAAACATAACTTTTATATGCATCGGGAAACCAAATAATTTGTGTGACTAGCTTTATGGTGATACTTGCTTTATTGCAGTGGTCTGAAACTGAACCTGCAGTATCTCGGAGGTATGCCTGTATTGGTTCATCAATTGTAACAAATATACTATCCTATGCAAGATGCTAAGGCGCTCTGGTGGTGCAGTGGTTAAAGTGCTTTACTGCTAACTGAAAGGTTGGTGGTTCAAACCCCCCAGCGGCTCTGCAGGAGAAAGATATGGCAGTCTGCTTTTGTAAAGATCTACAGCCTTGGAAACCCTATGGGGGCATTTCTACTCTGTCCTGTGGAGTTGCTATGAGTCAGAATTGACTGCATGGTCATGGGCCCTCGGTCTTTGGTTTTTATGCAAGATGTAAAATTAGGGGGAACTGTGAGAGGCAAAGAGGTAGAATATGAGAACTCGGCATTATCTGCTTAATTTTCTGTGAACCTAAAACTGCTTTAAAGTCTATTTAAAAAAAAAAAGAAAAAAAACCACACCAACTCCAAATGAATGGGACCATCTGGTGGTCTTCCAATGGCCCCTCTGTGCATATAGGGTCAAATCCACAGGCCATGCTACCCTTTACAATCCAGCCAAACTGAATCACTCAGGATCCCTGAGGGAGTCTAGAACTTTGCACACACTACTCCCTCGGCCTGGAATGTTGTGCCTTCCTTGCCTAGTCCGGAAATTACTTGAAGCAGCTTTTTCAGATTTCAATTTGTGGACATAGATGAACGATATACACAGCACCTCCTTTGTAACACCATGGGCAGACCTTTTTCCTGTGGTCTCCTGTTTTGTGTACCCTCCTAGGCCCAGCCTGGCTTTTTCCAAGTGTACAAACAGAAGAATCACGAGCTTTCAGTAGTGAAACTGTCCTGAACCACAGTACTGAACAGTATTTCCCACAATGCATCAAGAGGCCATAGGGCACCTCAGGAAATTCACAGGGGGCACAATAGGCCATTTTAAATTTGAGAGATACTCAACATCTGCTGGCTACGAAGAGAGCTACTCGCTCAAAGTAGTTTTGTTTCGTCATTAGATGGCGGGCTACATTCCTTCAGATTGCATCATTTTTGAGAAACTGGGTTTTTGGTGGTGGTTGTGATAACAAGCAAATGAAAGTCAATGTGGACTGAGATATGGAGGTGGCAGTGTCCACTGTGATTTGAAAGTTTGAGAAATCGTGCAGTGCCCACCAGGGGCACAGATCCCATTTTTAAGTAATTGTGGTTATTTAAGAATGAAATAAAAAATTTCTTTCAATTTATGTGTGTTGTTTTTCCAGACAACTAAGTTATTAGGACATAGATACTTAATAAGTGGTTTGGCCTTAACTATTTGTACATGGAACTGTTAGGTATTTCTTTTGACGTAGGGGCTCAATGAAAAAACTACTAAGACACTGAAGGTACTGGAAGTTGAGAGTTTGGAACCTCTGGTTGAAGATAGCATCTAATCCAGGGTACATCAAACTGCAGGTTAGGAAATCAATTTAGTGGGTCACAACCAATATCTTTTCCCTAATAAAATACACTGATAAATAGAGCATGTAGTAAGGGTTAACTATTATCATATAAAACTTGTGTTCATTATATTACAAGAAAGTATGTACATTTTGGTTCACAATGTAAAGATGTATATTTCTTGCTTGGGTTCTAGTAAAAAAATTAGAAAAATCACCGAGATTCCAACCCTCTTATTTTACAGATAAGAAAACAGGCCCAGATAGTGACAGCTGATTATCGCAAACCACAGCCCTCAGTGGGTGCCAGGTTCTGTGCTGGGCCCTGGCTGGCCACAGCTCACAGTGATGGAATGAAGCAGACCTTCTCCCACAAGAGGAGAAGAGTGTGGTGACTAGGAGGTGACTAAGAGCTAGGAGGTGAGGGAGCAGCTGACCTCATCTCTGCTAAACGGAACAAAGCTGCATTCTTGAGGCCAGGTACCCCCATTTTGTTCCCAAGACCCACAAATACCATCAGCCACACCTAGAACAAAATGGTTTTAATCAATTGCGTCACCCTCACTCTCCCGGGAGCAGAGCAACAAAAAGGCTCGGCTCCTGCCCCCAGAGGACAGTAAGGCTTCAGTGTCTCTCCACACTGCAGGGCCCACGCGGGTGGGAGGGAGGGAGGGAGGGAGGAACCGGCAGGTGGCTCGCACAGGGGAAAGCTAAGGGGCTCGGCTGGTCCCTGGGCCCCAGGACCCAGCCCCACTACTCCGCTTTCTCCTCCCTGGCCAGAGAAAGGTCATGGAGGAGAGACAGGGGCGCAAGTCCCAGCAGCAGGAGCAGCAGAAGCAGCTGTTTCCTTCACCAATAAATATACTTCATTACCAAGCGAGAGGAGGGGGGTGGGAAGAGGGACTGGGGTGGGGAAGAAGGGGAGAAGCTGCCACCTGTGTTGCTGGGATTAAAGCAGTAACGAGATGGTGCCAGACCCCCCACCACTACCCTCGCCCTCCACCCCATGTCTTCTTATAACTGTGAGAAAGCTTTTAACGTGGCCCTCCTGTCTGCAAGGGCTGCTCTGAGAGGAGGCACCTGGCAGAGACAGGGGCTGAGGGAGGGAGGCTGGGGGAGAGAAGGGCGGGAAAAGAGAGGCTGCTACTCCCCCGAGACTGCAGCTGGAGGGCTGGAACCAAGTAAGCACTGAGGGGAGGGGGAGGGGAAGGAGGATGAATGGATGGACAACCAGGAACAGCTCCAGAGCCCAGAGCCAAGGGAGCCCGAAGGAAGGGGAGGTTTGGTGAGTGGTGGGGTGACCGCTGCATCCAGTGTAAAGCTTCGGCTGCTGAGGAGGGAGGAGGCCGAACTGGGGACTTGCCCATCGGTGAGGTTCAGGGGACCCACCCCCTCTCCCCTCAGAGCAGCAGGGGACAGAGAAAAGCCATCACTTCTTTGGTCTTTGTGGCGGCTCAGCATAAGGGGTGGGAGGGAGGGCAGAAAGGGCAGGGCTGGGCCCTTAGCAGGGAACGCCACCTCAGCAAGAGTGGGCCTGGCTGGGAGCTCTGGCAGAAAGGTCACAGTGAGGCCGAGGAGCGCCCAGGAGGAGTGTGGCCGTAGTGTGGAAGGGCTGGCATGAGAGGCTATGGTGCAGTGCCCCACCTCTGCCAGGGCCCTCAGGAAAGGCTGAGCCCCCAGAGGTGGCCAGTGAGAGCAGGTGCAGGGCCCAGAGTCGGTGCTGGGGTTGGGGAGGAGGGCAGGGATGCTCTGCTGTGACCGGCTGGTGGCCTGGCCTGGCCCACACCAGAGCTCCTGTTCTCCCTTCTGCTTGCACCTGACACTGGTGGCTCTGGAGGGAGGGTGGGATCTTATCCCTTTTCAGAACCTTCCCTGAAGACCACAGGGCAGCTAGCCTTGCTGGCCAGGCCGGGAAGAACAGTGGCAACAGGTCAAGGCTAGCCCTTACTGACTGGGAACTCCACTCCCTTTTTTGCTGCCAATTGGAGGGCAGGGCAGTCCTTGCAGACAGCCTCAGCCCTTGCCTCTCGAGCTGAGGCAGAAGGGGTTTTGAGACAAGTCAGAGCCCTCCAGGGACACGGAAGTAGGAGGTGGGGGCCATGGGGTGGGGCTTCCCTTCCTGTTCTTCCACTCTGGGCTGGGGACAGTCAAGGGACAATCAGCCCAAGTCTGAAAGCCAGCAAGTGTAGTAACCCCACCCCTAATGCCAAACTAACAAAACAGGGGAAATGAAAAAATGGAGGGGGGAAGACAAACCAAAACAGAACACGCTGACCTCCTGCCCAGGGTGAGGGTCCAGCCAGTAGCAGGGGCTGGGGACCAGGGCTGGGAGGGTCTAGCTGGGCCGGCACTGCACCTGGCCCTCGGAGCTGTCCTCATCATCAGAGGCCCCAGCACCCCCACTGCTCAGGCCTGTGATCCGGTAGCCCATGTTGAGCAGCATCACCTCCAGCGGGTCGGCGTTCATGCGCCGCTGGTTGGCCTGAGAAGCGCCCTCCATGTCTTCCACAACTCGGCCTGTGAGGTCTTCACTCTGAGGGGGTGGGGGAAGAGAAGGCATGTGGGGGACACCAGGGTATATGGGGTGGCACTTGCATAGGGATATATGCACAGAGGGGCAATGCAGACTGAACTATAGCTACGGAGGGGATGGACACAACTGTGTCTGGGCAGAGGGGAACTCCTGGACTGGGATACACATGGGGCTCCTAGCATACCAGGACATCCATGAGGGCACACAGTACCACACTGGGTTACATGTGTGGGGGAACCCACATGGATATATGTGAGGGAGAGCACACATTCCAGGGTATGCTGAAGGGTGCACCTACTGGCTATATGGGGGTGGGGCAACTCTATTCTGTTACCACTCTCAAACCCAACTACTTTCCTTTCTGTTCCCCTCCCCTCCCCTCCAAGGAGGGTCTTGTAAAATTTCTCTTTAAAAGTCCCAGCAATTTATCTCTGGGATCTGATGCCCACCATTTGACTTCTGTTTCGCCAGCTGAGAAAGGGGAAGGAGTGAGACAGCAACTGGGTAGGTCTTGGGCAGGTTCGCCGGCTTACCCATACTGGGAGTGGAGGGGACCACACTGTTCTGAGTGTCCCTGAGGGTCCGACACTCCACAGGTATCATTTCTTTAATCCTTAAAGCAACCTTTTGAGGTGGTGCTGCCATGCCCATTCCCAGAGTACAGATGATGAACTTGGGTCAGAAATGGTTAAATCCTGCAGGCAGTGAGTGAAGGGGCCCACCAGACCCCAAAGCCTGCATACTACCCAGATGACTAAGGGGCTGGCCTCTGCACAGCTTGTGGCAACAGGCACACAGCATGTGGGGGCAGGGACACTTGTCATGAGGCAGTGCTGGGGCCGGTCTGGTTCCCTTCTCTGCCCTCCTGCAGCCCTGTCCTTGGTTATGGTTTCCTGTATGTGAGCCCCATGTTCGCAGCTAGCTCAAGGCTATGCTCCCAGAGGATGAGAGCCCCCTCCTGGCCCAGGTGCGGCACTCCACTGCGTTTGGAGCTTCCGGACGCTGACAGCTCCCACCTTAACACAGCTTTGGGTTCTCGGGTAAGAGCTATTTATCCCAGCAGCTTCTAGCCTCTGCCTGACTCATCTCCCTTTACAGCTCTCACAGGTCCAGGTGGAGGTCCCTCCCCTCCTCCCTGCTTGGCTTTGACCACTCTTGCAACCTCACCTCTGGCCGGGGATTCCAGAGCCGTACAACAGGGTCAATGCCACTGGTAGCCAGGAAGCAGTAGCTTGGGTGCGGCTGCAGGCAGTTGACGATGGACTCGTCTCCCTGAAGCACGCGGACCAGGTTGGTGGTCTCCTTTTCCCAGATGAAGAAGGAGCCATCGTCAGAGCCACTGACGATGTATTGAGCATTGCTGGCGGGGGGGCAAAGGGCAGGGAGGTCAGGTGGGGTACTGCCCTATGGCCTCAAGTACAGGCTACCTGGCCCAGGGTGAGGAAGAGCAGGGACGTCTGGAGCCACTCAGGCCCCCATACTCTGGGGTCTTCCCTTGACTCCGAACTCCCAAGTACAGGATAATTTTCTCCCTACTGCACAGCCCCATTCACTGTTCTCATCAACCCAAGGTCAGGGGCCACCTGTTGCCTCTGAGGTACTCTCCCCTAAAGTACACCATAACCTTCCTGGGTGTCAGGAGCAGGTCTCCCATCTCTTAGGCCTCTGGGAACACCCTTTCCCAAGCCTTCCTTGAGAAGGCCTAGGTTTTCTGAATCCAGACCTCAAATCCTACAGGACATCTGCTCCCCCATGCGTGGTGACATTTAGAAGGGCCCTTGAAGCAGAAATTCTTGATGCATGTCTCTCATCTACCCAAAAAAAGTGCAAACAACATACACAAAGGAGGGCTGGGGTGACAGTATTCAAGACATGGCTATGCTCCTCAGTTCCTGGGCACAGTTCTGAATGTACAACAGGTGTGCCAAGATCCCCAACCCCTGAGGGCTCATGTCTGGCTGAGGGTGGCTCCAAGCATCAGATAAAGACACCAAGCTCTGGCACACAGAGACAGATGGAAGAGGAGGCAGAGGGTAAAGGGACATCCAGGCACTGTGCTGGATGCTTTACTTGCATCATCTCCTTAGTCTTCACTGTGTCCCCACAAGTGGGCATGGCTAATTGCATTCTGCAGATAGAAACACTGAGGCCGACAACCCCAGGGCGCAAAGGCAGAGCTGGGATTTGAGGCTTTTCTAAAAGATTTACACCCCCACTCCGCCACCTGCCCCAACACCAAACCTCCTGCTGCTGCCTGGGCTATGCCCCACCCTCCCCTCCAGGGCCTCAGACCTGCCAAAGAAATTGGCCTCCTTGATATCTGTGGTGGTGTTGCAGTGGCCACAGTAGCGGAACTGATAGTCGTAGCTTCGCTCCCGCAGCACCATCTCGTCTTCTGAGATGGAGTCCTTGCGGCTCGTGCTACGGAGGCGGACTGGGCCACCGCCACCAGCTCCCTTCTTCTCTTCTGGGGGCAGAGACCAAGGAAAGGTGAGAGTGCTGTCCCTGGCCCCTCCCATCACCTTTATCATTTGCCTCACCAATATAGGGCTCCTTGATTCTACCCCTACCCTGGAAAACTAGAAAAATGTTGTGAAGAAGAAGCATCTGTGGCTCTGGCCTCAGAAGGTGTCAAGAGGAGGCCTCTGATGCCAGGGGGCCTTTGTTCAGGTCGCTGAGTAAAGGCTCTGGCCCCACGGACGCACAGGCCCAAGCTCTGTTTCGGTGGAGGTGAGAGGCTGGGGAGCAGAGGGTGAGCGACTGGCAAACACAGCACTGAATGGGTTATTTTTCTCAAGAGGCATAGCTCTTATGGCAGTAGGGTCCAAACTCTTACTTTCGGGAAGACAGGTTGTCATGGATCCCAACTGAGGCACTGATTGGTTACATGACTTGGATAAAAAAATCACACCAGCTTTCTCAGTTCCTTAAAAGTGTCTGTTGCTTCTTTCTAGGGCCTTTGCACATGCTGGTCCCTCTGCTGGGAACTCTACCTCCCACAGCCACACTCTGTATCTAGTTAACTCTTCTTCCTCATCCTTCAGCCTTCAACTTAAATGTCTCTTTCTCGAGAAGCCCAGACTGCCATAAACCCCTCTTCTATATACCTATACTGTCTCAGGTCCCCACAGCACTTGTCACACTGTTTCTCCTCCACCCTTTGGGTTTTCACCAGGCTGTAAATTCTATGAACACAGAAATCAGGGCTAACTTTTTACAGCTGTATTCCCAGGCCCCAGCACGGTGACTGGCACATGGCAAGTGCTTGATAAACAAATGGATCAATCACATGATTAGTAAACTACAAAGGGGACAGGTGAGGATCATGTCTACCACAGACCACACTACAATTACCCAGATCTCCCTGCAACACTACAGGGAGAAGTGAGCTTGCCAGGGGTGTGGTGGGGTGGTGGGGTGGTGGGGTGTTGGGGGTGGTGGCTTCATATGCTCTTTGTGTAGGTAACGTAGTGGCTTCAGAGAGGCTGTGTTTTTGCCCAAGGCCACACAGTCACCACATGGTAGACTTGAGGCTCCACACCCTACACCCAAGGCATATCTACTGCCCTGTGCTGCACCTGTGCAAACTGGAACAAACTCAGCCATCAGCTGCTGCCCCTTCCTCAGCTGGCCAAGTGGAGGGGCCAAGGCCCTGTCAATGAGCACATGTGGATGCCCAACTGGATGCCATGTGGCCTGTTTAGGTTCAGTTTATTGTTATCCTGAGTAACAGACTATATCAGGTTATTGCCAATCCTCAATAGAAACTGAACAGAAGGTGCTATCATTCTCCTTTTCAAATGAGGAAAGTGAATCCTGATGAGACCAAGTGACTGTCCCAAGGTCACATGGTTTTGGAATCAACATCTGAACCCAGGCTTCTCCAGTACCAGAACTGTGTTCTCTCCAGAATGTCATGTGGCACCTCAAACAGAGTGTCACCAACCCTCTTCCCGACCCACTCACCACCATCATTTTTGGAGAAGAGGGCAGCTGTGATGTCGCGGCCCAATGCATCACAAGCACTGCTGTGGGCCTGCTCCGGGAACTTCCCTTTGAAGTCATCCAGGCACTCCAGGGCCTCAGCCACATACTTGAGCTCAAAGAGGCAGCGGGCCAGGCGGAAGTGTGCCTTCAGGTGGCATGGGTTTAGGGAGATGGCCTTGAGGCAGTCCCTCAGAGCATCGTAGTGGTCACCATCCCTAGGAAGGCAGGAGAAGGTTGTTTAGGGGTGGAGCCACATGGCAAGGGTTCCCCACTGCTTCCTCTCTTACTTGTGGTCACCCCAACCCACTCTGACAGATCTGAGGGTGAGGGAACTTGGGGATGGAGAGAATCCTGGCTCAGCCCTGGCGTCCCTCCCCAGGAACTAGAGAATGTTGAGGAGGCTAGCCAGGATACTTGAGAGCTTGGAGGCTGGCAAAAACTGGTGTTGGGATGCCCTCTGCTGGGTACAGAGTGCAACTGTGTACCCACTCACCCCAGGCACCCGCAGCTCTGCAGCAGAAGGCCTGGCATCTTGCCCACCTTAGGCTCCCCAAGCCCGCCTTCTCTCTTTTTCCATCCACCTCCTCTTGACTGGCCTTCAAAGCCATGTCCAAGACAGGGGGCCCTCAAGGACAGTTTTGTGGTCTGGGGAAACCAGAAGTGCCAGGCTGCGGACTCAGAGTCTGACCAGCAGGCAGCAAGCCCTCAGCCAGACCCCTGTCTGTCCTGGCTGACTGATCCACAGCAGCTGTGGCCTCTACCTCCTGGGGCTAGAGGATAGGGCTTGATGTCTGGCAGAGTCAGCGCTCTGGAAGCTGATGGTGAGAGGGGGTGCGAACACCAGGAGCTCCAAATTGTCCCCACTCACTTCTCCCACCTCCGGAAGCATATGGATGAAGGGAAGTGGGAGTATTTTTTTTTTTTTAGGGGGGAAGAAGTGGGGAGGAGGTCAGAGGAGAAGCCCCTCCTTCTCCCAGCCTGTGCCAGAGTACAGGATACACATTCCCCCAGCACCCCTAGACTTGTCCCTGCCTTTCATCTGGGAGCCAGGCAGCTCACAGGAGCCACTTCTCCTTTGGAAGATGATGTGTTTGTTTCTGCTGGGCTAGGGGTGGGCCTAAGGTCCAATTGTGCCAAGTAGCACTCCCTAGAGATGATGGTCCTTCTACCAAGGGCACAGGTCACAAGCCCACATAGGACCAAAGCAGGACTGACAGGGACAGCTTCTCCTGACCCTCCTGTCCTACAGCATCAGCCCTTGGAGCAGCCATGGTGAGATCAGGAATAGGTAGCTCGGCCAGTGTGGGGGCAGATGGGAGAAAGCAGCTCTGATGGGAGAGAGCAGCCTGCGTCAGAACGAGGGGCTGTGACAAAGGAGCAGGCGCTGCTTGAAAACCCAATTACTGCCCACAAGGTGCCCCTCAGAGCTCCTGGGGAGAGGGAGCTGACCAGAGACCAGCTAGGAGCCAGGGGTGACAGCTTCCCCGCTGTGTCCAGGAGCAGATGGCAGCCCTGGGGAGACTGGCCTGGGACAGAATGTGACATTCTAGGGGTCACTGGCAGACATGTGGGGATGGTGAGAGAGCAGGCTGGCCCCAGGACTCACCCATCCTACACTTGGTGCCAGATCAATCTCCCTGAAAGGACAGTCCTCATCACAGCCCTCTCCTGCTCACAACTCTTCAGTAGCTGCCCATCATCTGCTGAATCGAGGCCAACCACCACCGCTCCGCATTCCAAGCCCTTCCCAGGCCGGCCCCAGGCTACCTCACAGACTCATCTCCTGCCAGTCCCTTCCTGAACCCTCTGCTCCAGCCAAATGGATTTGTTGTTCTGCAAACAAGCTCTTCAGTCAGTCCCCCACCCCCACATCTTTGTTCATACCGTTTCATATCCCTGGAATGTCCTTCCCCCACAGTCCTCCCCCGCACCCCCCCCCAGCTCCTTGTCTAAGCCTGCCCACACTTAAAGCCCATTCAGACAGCACATCTTCCTGAAGCTTTGCTGATCTCCAGCTAAAGCGACCCAACTTTTCTCGATGTCCACAGCATTTCACCTGAAACACTCACTCGACATACTGCTTCCTGCCTCTTTCATGCTCAGTTGTGCCCATGTTTTTATTTCCTGTCCAGACACCCAGAATGACAGAACTTCACGTCCCTAGCACATAGCAGGAGTTCAGAGAACATGTCAAGGGCACACATGGATTGGGAAATCATTAGCCTCTCTCGGCAAGGATGCAGGAGTGAAGCTGAGCTTGCAGGCTAGGGCCTGGATGAGGATCACTGCATTCTACCCAACTGTTGGGACAGAGAGGCAAAACACTTCAAGATGATCCCAAAGCAGTCATCTCCTGGGTCTGACTGCACCTGAGCCCTTGGCAAACTTCTGATGCCTGGGCTAAGACCTGTGGGTATAGCATCTTCCCAAACCCCCACCTACTACCCCTGCTGACTTGGGTGGGTTTCTTAAGCTTCCCTCTTTGGCCTGCCTGGTTGCAGCCAGACGATGGCACACCAGCTGTCCTGTCTGTCTGGGCAGAGCCAACGGATGCCAGACGGAGCAGAAATGGCTGTGGGCCCAGCTCTATCCATCTCTAGTCCTGGCTCTGTCTGGGGGATGGGGGGTCTGCCTGCCTGCCTACTGGTGCAGGCAGAAGGGCTGAGGCCCTGATATCTTTCAAAGATGAGGGGTTCTTCAGGATATGGACCCACTCCTTTACCATCAGCCACCACACTCCAGCATGACCCATACCCAGCTTCAAAATTCTGGGATTTTGTCTGTGCTTGGCCCAAAGGGTCTAAGAGCACAACAAAGCAAGCCTTAGAGATAAGGAGCTGCAGAATCATTTCCAACAGATAGCAACTGAATTTATCGAACCCCTCATTTCCACCTAGTGAGATTCCACTGCTCCTTCAATGACCAAATTCAACGCCCAATTTTCCTACAATTGGGATTACCCATCATTCCTCTTAATTCCCACTTCTCCAGTGGTCACAGGACCATGACGGAGCTACTGTGAACACGTCTCTGTTCCATTTAACTGTGAGCTTCCTTGGTACTTGCGACTTCCTATTAATGGGTCAGGCATCAGTCCACCTCAGCTTAGACACACAAAGGAGAGGCCTGGGTAGGCCTAAGAAACCCTAAGAGGCAGCAGGGATCACTGCTACCATTCCTGGATGCCTCAGCAACTTCGGCTCTATCAGGCCCACTACCTTTTGGTCCAGGTCCTTCGTCCCTAGCCCTGGCCTGGGCCTACTCTGCAGTGCCCACTCACCACTTGCGCTTCATATAGGCAGCAGCTCGGTTCCCGTAGAGCATGGCGTTGTGAGGGGCCCTCTGAACAGCCTTGCTGTAAAGCTGAATTGCCTGGGTCCATTGCTGGCAAGCAAAAGCCTCATTGGCTTGTTGTTTCACATGCTCCAGGTATGGGGGCAGCTCCACCTGGGGGCTGCAGAGGAAGCAGAGCCCAGTCAGGGCAGCCTGAGGAAGTCCATAGCCTGTATCTGAGAGCCACGCAGGTTTTTTTTTGGCTCCTAAGATGTGCAGTACCCTTTAGAAGAGGGGACCACTGCTGTCCCTGGCCTAAGTTAATGTGATAGATAGTAGGCATTCTTGCCTATGGGGCCAGAGGAAAAACAGAGAAGCAAAAATAAAGCTGTTTTGGACATGTTTAAGGTAATTCTTAATCAAACCTCTGGGCATGATAGTAGCTGATACCACCTGTCCCAGCCACCTGCCTCCATGCTGAGCTGAACCTTAGGACCACCCAAGTCCCTCCTATGGATTTCACTATAGAGGATCTTCTGTTTCTCTCAAGGGCTAGAGAATTTGAGTGTCTTTGAACAATTCCTATATCCAAAGCCCACAGGTCCTGGCAACAATATGCTTATGGAATGGAAAATAATTAATAGGGAGGGGACATCTGTGTGGAACCCCTTTTAGAGAGAGTGCAGTGATAAGTGGCAGTTAACACCATGGCCTGTCCCCAGCTTCTGGTACCAAGGGACCAGAGCTTCAGTCAGGATGACTGGGGTCCTACCATGTAGAAGCAGCACTGGGAGCACTAGTCACCCTCCAGAAGCTTCTATCTCCCAGTCCTCACTCTCTGGGAGGTGTGCCTAGGCAGGGGCTGGGAGGAGGGCTTACAGGACATACCCCTCCTTCCAGTCCATCGAGTATAATTGGGGCTAGAAGGGCTGCACAAGTTAGGCTGGCCTTACCTGATGTGTCCTCTATTCTCCGGAAGCCGGAAGCCATTGCTATGAAGGTGCAGGCCATTGGATACACCATTGGACACACCATTGGTGGACATCTTGCCGTTCTGGACTTCTGGCGGACAGTGGGGAGAAAGGAACTCAGGAGGAGTTCACATTTTCCCCTGGACAGCCTGCCAACTTCCATCACAGTGCTGGTTCCATTGTGGGGCTATTCTCCACGGGTAAGATCCATTCCCAGAAAACAAATTCTGAGACAGGCAACGGCATAAAGAAAAGCCTGTGCGCCACCTGGTGGTCGGTGAGGGACACAGCTTCAACTTGACATTACCCTTAGCTGGGGGTGGGGGTTAAAAAAAACCACCACTACCACCAAACCCACTGCCATAGAGTCAGTGCCCAAGGCATTTGACTGGTAACCAGAAGGTTGGTGGTTCAAATCCTCCAGCTGCTCCATGGAAGGAAGATGGGGCAATCTACTTCCGTAAAGATTTACCACCTTGGAAACGCAATGAGGGTCACTATCAGTTGGAATTGACTAGATGGCAGTGGGGGTGGGGGTTAGGGGGTGCCTAAAACAACTATAAGCCCTAGGAAGATGTCAGGGAGACTGAGCCAGGAAAAGAAGGGGAAGGACAATTACTTTAGGCCCTCAAGAGTAAGCCCCCCAGAAAGAACCTGTCTTTTCAGAGGGAAATGAAAAGGTTTGTGATGCAAATCTTTTTGACAGATCTTGCTGGCCTGTTTTCTCCCTTCTTAAAGAGAAAGTGTTATTTTAGAGAATCTTCTTTTTTTGGAAGACCACAGTCACAGCCCAGGGTAAGTGACAGGCTTCCAGCACAGGTAGCACCTGCCCAAGCTCCCCAGCCCCATGTTAGCAGTTACCTTAAGGGAGAAGGGCTAAGCCCTGAACTTACCCCCTGAGGAGTGGCATTTTCTAGGCAAGAGGAACGTGTATGGCCGCTGCTTATACGTCAGGTCAAACAAATAGACCTAGAGTTGAGGAGTCAGGAAAAGAGATGGAGACTGTGAGGTAAAAATGTGGCTGGACAACTAGCAAGGCTTTGGTGGCTTTTAAGAACCAGAAGAACACAGTGAGTATTAAGCATGGAACAGAGGGCTTCTGGGCCATCAAGCCGGGACAGGAGAGGTTTCTAGGGAGCAAGCCTTGGGCAGGAAAACCTTCCCAGCTCCTGGTCCTCAGGGTGGACTATGTGATCTGCCTAAATCCTTGCTTGAAATACTGTCATTAACTAGAATCATATGTTTAAACTGAAAAGGTCCTCAGAGGTCACAAAACAAAATGCTTCCTTTTACAAATGGAAAACTAAAGCCTCAGAGGGAGGAGTGACTTGTCCAAAGCAATAGTGTTAGTTATTTCTTTTAATAAATAAGTATTATCTATTATAACTTAAAGAAACTCAAGGGGTATAGTGGTTAAGGCATTCGGCTGCTAACCAAAAGGTCAGTGGTTTGAACCCACCAGCTGCTCTGCACAAGAAAGATAGGGCAGTCTGCTTCCATAAAGAGTTATAGCCTTGGACACCCTATGGGGGTTGCTGTGAGTCGGAATTGCCTCTATAGTAATGAGTTTGTTTTTTGAGTTTATTATGACTTAACATTTATTGAACATTTACTTTGTTCTAAGGACTTTGCTAAGTGTTTTAAATGACTTATTTCATCCCAGAAGCTGCCCCATAAAAAGGTACTATTATCCTCACCCCTTTTTATAGATGAAGAGTTTAAGTAATTTATCCAGGGTCATTGAAGCAGCAGGTGACACAGCCAGGACCCAAACTAAGGTCTGTCTGATATCAGATCCTGGCTGTTAACCACTGCCTTAAGGCCAGGAGACAGCTCAGCTCCATGAAGCTGGAACCCTGTTTTGAACTCAGGCACTCACCTATTCTCCACTCCACTTTTTCCCTTTATAATTACACCTTGCTTTGTAATGTCACCAACTATTTCACTTGGAAGTGCATCAACAGAGGTTTAGCAACCTGCTGTTATCAAAGAGCACTTCCCAAAGCTGTGCATAAACCAGAGCCTGGGCTGCATGCTTTGTGCCCCAGGGGTTTTCTCCTAGGTTCTCTCAGCCCTGTGCAATGTCCAAACACAGCAGCCAAAACCCAAGTCCCAGGCACACACAGCCACTTTTCACATCAATTCTCCTATTTCTTCTAACTTGGGACACCTGCACCTGCATATCTACCTCTGTCATGGGTGTACAACAAGATTAAAGTGTGCTTTGTTCTGACTTTGTTCTAACTATCACTATCAAGGGCGACCATTTAATAAGCACCTAACATATGTCAGGCACTGTGTGCTAGGTATATCAGGCATTTTTTCTCTAAACTTTACCACCCTGCCTGGTAGTGATACCATTTTAGAGATGAGGAAACTGAGGCTCAGGAAAATAAAGAAACTTGCTCAAAGTCCCAATGCTAAGCTAGCAAACAGCAAGCCAGCATTAGAAAAGAGAAAAAAAGACCAGGGCAGGGTACTTCTCTGGAATCCCAATAATGCTACGTCACTCCCATAGCTCACAGTAATGCGAATTCACAAAGAGGCTGTTACTTCTTGCCACCTTCTGACACTGGAGGTGGGGTGCACAGACGTAGCTGCTGGATGTGGGGTGGTAGTGAGGCAGAGGCACCTTAGGCAGCCATACCTACCTGCTCCCCTCCCATGTTGACCAGCAGCTCTGTGCCATTGGGACTGAAGGTCACATAGGTGGCGACCAGCACTCTCAGACGGTTGTTGTAGTCAGGCAGCTTCACTGGCAAGTGGCCTGCAGGGAGCAATTCAACCAACTTAGTGTGAACATCTCAGTTTCTACCCAAAGGGGCAAGGGATTGTATGGAGACGGCTTCATTGCTGATGAACAGCAATAATCTCGATTGATTGTAACAGAAGCTACAAATACCGAGCCCTTATCGTATGCCCTGGGCAAACTATTTCATATGTTTTATTTCATTTAGACATTACAACTCTGTTTTACAGAAAAGAGACTACGGCTCAGCAAAGTTAAGTGATTTGCCAAAGGTCACACAGCTGGCCAGTGGCAAAGCCAGGATTAAAACCCAGGTCTGTCTGACTATAATATCCTTGCTCTTGACCACCATGCTATGGTGCCTCCCTGCACTGCCCGAGAAAGGGTCAAGTACATAGCCAAGAGTTCAGGGCCAGAGCCGGGCTGAGCCCTACCTGCTACGTAATACTGGACTGCACCATCCGGAAGGGGCTTCTGCCGGTCACAGAAGGTGTGCACACCTGCTGAAGGGCTCTGCTTCATGCTCTTTCTGGTAGGAAGGCAAACCATATAGATTACAACCCCTAGCACTACCCTGGCTAAGTAAGACCACACTCCCTAGACTAAGTTTATATCCCTGATATAAGAAGTAGAGATACAGGCGGTCCCTTCCTCAAATAAGCAACCCCACAGATCTACTGACGAGACAGCTGTGGACATATGCACTACAGTGCTTTACAGAGCAGGCCCTGCACCTATTTTGCTCCTCAGGACAACCCTATTATCCCAATTTCACAGATGAGGAGGGTAAGGCTCAATGCCTCCTACAAGTCACCTGGTGTGTGAGAGCAGCTGTGGGCCTCCAAACCCACAAATGAAAGGAAAGCAGGCCAGACAGTCTGGCCTCTGCCCCAGGAGTCCACCGAAAGCCCTGGCTGGAGAAGCTGCTCAGTTCTGGGCCTTCTATGGGGATCTGATTATATGCTTTTTTTTTTTTTTTTAAAAAAAGAATGGAATAAAATTACATTACAAAAAACTACAAGATAACTGTATGAACACTCGTAGCACAAGGACTAGCAAGAAATGTTATACATTGTGATTTCTTTTAGGTGATGGGATTATAGGTAATTTTTTTTTATTATACTTTTCAAGCTTTGCAAATACAGCATAGATTAAATTTTTTTCTAGTCAAAAAATTTAAAAAAACCACCTCAAGAAGAAGAGGGCATGGCAATAAGGTAAAAGGGCAGCAGGCCTCAGGAGCTCAGCCCCAGGAGTCACTGTCCTGGTCCTGGCCCCGGGAAGCTACTGCATAGGAGGTTGAGCCATCATACCTGTGGTTGTGGATCATGCGAATGTCATAGAGCCTCACGAAGGGCCCACTGGCTCCTACTGCCAAGCAGTTGTTGTCCTGGGGATTGACAGTGAGGCATTTGGCCTCCACCAGCTGGCCACAGTACTCTGTCAGGTCAATCAGCACCTCCGAGTGTTTGCTGTTCTCCCGAAGGTCATACTGGCTGTGAGAGAGGACAGAGTTAAGGGAATTGGTCCTTATGTGGAAGTCAGGGGAGAAGTCAAGGCTTTGTCACACAAAGGAATTGGGAAGGGCTTTGGACCTGTCTGTAAACCATAAGAATGTCAAAAATCACTCTCATTTCTTGAGTGCCCATTATATACCAGGACTGCAGTAGGCTTTTAACACATTCTGTATTGTCTAACATAATCCCTTACAGGAGATACTACTGTACCTTCTTTACAGATGTCAGTATGACCGCTACCAGTACTACTACTACTACTGCTTACTAACACTTACTAAAACTTGCTTTGTGTTCATTACTGTCCCTGTTTCACATGTATTACCTAATTATTTGTCACATCATCTCTAGGTACCATTAGAACACTGAGAGTCAAAGAAATTCAATAACCTGCCCAGGAGAACATATAGAAGTGCCTCTGTATGCCAGCTAGTGAGGGCAGAGCTGGGACAGATTCCTAAGACTGCATTTTAACCACTCTGCTCTGCTGCTTCCTAATCTAGTTTAGAAACCAAAGAAAGTGTGGAAGTGACAGCCAAGAGAATCTGGAGATCGTCCAAGAACGACCTAGAAACACCAAGCACCAAGGGAAGCGCAAGCATACCTGCTCTCTGACAAGACAAAGTCACATCCAGGTGTAAAGGTAAGACCAAAAAGTCTTCCCAGCAGCCGCAAACTCTGCGTCCCGTCGTGTTTTTGCTGCCATACACAGGTACATTCATAAAGTGATAAGGGCCATAACCCATGTACTCCCCCACCTCTTGCCTAGACATCTGGGATCATCTTTCTTTCTTAAACTTTTTACTGTGGTAAAATAGATATAACAAAACATTTGCCATTTCAACCATCTTTATGTGCAAAAAATTCAGTGACATTTACATTTGCCATGCTGTGCCAACAATTACTACTTTTTGCAAATTTTTTTTATCACCCTTAACAGATTCTGTCCCCCTAATCTGCAGTAATCTCTTCACTGTACACCTTGTCTTTCCAAGTCATCCTCACCAGACTGCTCTTCCTAAAATCCTAAAACACTACCCTCCTGCTTAAAAATTACAGAGATCCCTCACTACTTGTAGCTTGAGGTCCAGACTCCTCACTCTGGTTTTCAAGACCTGATTTCACACACCTCTCCTACCTTATTCCCCAGTTTTCCAAACCTGGGTAGTTACCTCTACAGAGCCCTTCCTCCCTGCCTTCCCAAAATCTGCTCAAGCCAGTGGGTGTTCTCTGCTTTCCCTGTCCATCCAAATCCTGTCTATTCTGGAAGGCCCACTTTAGGGCCTTTACATTCTACTAGAGTGCCTGCCCTGATTGTGCCTAAGTGATTAGCATCCTACCCAATTCTCTGGATGCTCAGTTCCTACTAGGTGGCCTCAGCACAGTGTGGTCAGTCAAGGACAGCAAGCATAACATATAGTATGTGCTACCTGGCCTACCACTGACCAAGTGCTTTCTGTCCTCCAAGTGTAATAATAAGGTTTTACACACACTATTCCCATTTTAATGCTCAGGCCAACTAGAGAGATACTATAATTTTTCCCATTTTATAGAAAAGAAACTGAAGTTCAGGGGTAAAGTGACTTTTCCCAGTCAAACACTCAGTGATAGAGCTATGATCTGATCCCAGGCCTGTCTGACTCCAGTGCCCTGCTTCTCACTACTGTGTTGTATTTTATTTATGATTTAGATACTTCCCCTATTTCATAATAGGGAAGAGTACACAAAGTCCTATAGGAACACAAGGGAGGCAATTATGGCAGCTTAGGGAGATAAGGAACACGTTGTAAGGCTGTATCTGAAGGTTGAAGTTTAAGAAAGGGAATGAGATCATTCCAGGATGAAGATAAGCAGAGGCAAAGGTGTGACCATTCAGTGCATGTTCTGGAAAAGGCAATAGTCCACTTTGCCATTTCTGGCTGCTCCCCCCACCTCCAGGTATATGCCCAGTGACTTAACTGTTCAATAGAACATATATAAGTGCCTCTGTATGCCAGGTACTGTGCTGGGCTCTAGGGAATCCAACCAAGAACTAGATAGACATGGAAATGCTCTAAGAGAGTTTACTATTCTGTGGGGGATTCAGATGAGTAAGTAAACAAATAAGTAAATAAAATAACTCCAGGTGGTGATCAGAGTTACAGAGGATATCATTAGTGGGCTGAGACAAAGAATAATGTTGAGTCTACTTGAAACAGGTTAGAGAAGTACTTCTGAAGAGATGACTCTTAAGCTGATGATATCCTTAGGGTGAGAACAGTCAGATACAGAATGAGCTGGGAACAGAAAATTCCAGGCAGAGGGAACAGCAAACGTGAAAGCCAAGAGGAGGCAGAGACCCTGGTGCATTTGAGGTGGTGAGAAGGGCAGCAGGCCTGGATGTAGTGCAGAAGAGGTGGTACGGATTGAATTACAGCCCCTAAACATACATGCAATAAATCTTCTATGCTTATACTTATAATCCCATTTGGGAATGGGTTGTCTTTGTAATATTAATGAGGCAGGATGAGTATAGGGTGTATTTTGAGTCCATTTCTTTTGATATATAAAAGAGATTAAATAAGAGAGCAGAGGACAGTTGGGGTAAAAGAGATGCCAAGCCACATGGAGATCTCCAAGAACCAGGAAGCAGCAGCTGAAGAGACAAGAGCCTTCTTCCAGAGCCCACTGAGAGAGAAGGCTTTTCCCTAGAGGTGGTGCCCTGAATTTGGACTTCCAGTTTCCTAAACTGTGAGAAAATACATTTGTTTGTTAAAACCATCTACTTGTAGTATTTCTGTTATAGTAGCACTAGATAACTAAGACAAGAAAGTAAAAAGTGGAAGGTGAAGGCAGGGTAAGCCTATGCTCCCCGCTGAGTTGCATATAGATAACTGTGATGGGCCAACAAATGAGACTGGGACTCTGCTGACAGGAAGGAGCCAGACCTGTGGAAGGAAAGTAGTGTGGGCGGGTGGGATGGGGGAACAGGGGATGCACAGGCCCCCCTGATGTCCTGGCCCTTACCGGATAAGCCCATCCTCAGCGGCACTCCAGAATGTGTTGGGCCACATTGGCGCTGTGGCAATGCGCTTCACCCGGTTTGTATGGTCTCCAAACATGTGGATTGTCTCCTTTACTGTCAGGTCATGGACATGCACCTTGGAGTCAGCTGCCCCCGTGATCAAGATGCGGTCCCCAGCGTGAGGCAGGAACTGCTCAGGAGAGATTAGAGAAGGGATTGGGGGGCAGTAAGGGAAGGGTTGGCCAGGTCAGGAGACTAGTCTGAATATCAGCATCTCCGCCCCCCTTTTCCTCTCCACACCAGATAAGAAAATAGGCCCATGCAAAAACCCTGAGCAGAAGCCTATAGGCCCAAAGGTCAAAATTAGGACACGTACCTTTACTTTGTCAGAGTGGTCCTGACCTATGCCAAGTTGGACTACCTGAGAAACCCTTTGTCTCTGATTGCTCCTCAAGTAAGAACTGAATGGATGGTAACTATACACCAGCGGGGTGATGGTGGCTGTTGTTGCTGTTATGTGCTGTGGTTGGACCCAACTCATAGTGACCTCTCCTTGGGTTTCCGAGGCAGCATCACTACGGAAGTAGATTGCCCCATCTTCCTTCTGAGGAGTGGCTGGTGGGTTTGAACCACCAGCTTTCTGATTAGCAGTCAAATGCCTTAGGGTGTGTGTTATTTTATCTTATTGATACTTAAACAAGTTTCTAGTTGCCATCAAGTCAGTGCCAACTCGTGGTGACCGTGTGTGTGTCAGAGCAAACTGTGCTCCATGGATTTCAACGGCTGATCTCAGAGGCACGTCACCAGGGCTTTCTTCCGAGGCACCTCTGGGTAAATGCAAAGCTCTAGCTTTTAGGGCAGCAGTCAGGTGCACTAACCCAGGGACTCTTTATACTTAAATGACCTCATTAAAAACTGAGGTGCAGTATAAACATTCAGCAAGACTGTTCAAACCCCAGTCTTTTGGACTCCCATATGCCATGCTGCCTCACAATGACTACTTAATAATCTGGGAATTAAGTAATAGAGTGGTCTTAAAATGAAAAGGACTTTCAGTATTTTAAGGGAATTAGTGTTTTAAATTGGTTCAAATGTTTCCAGAAAAAAAAAAAAAAAATCTGGTGTAGGTAACGAAGATATAACTATTTCTATCTTTTGACCTAAAACTTCTACTTCTGAGACTCATGCCTCAAGCAAATAATCCAAAAGGAAAAAAAGGACTGGTTAGAAATGCTCAGAGCAGTACTCTTTATACTAGCAAATATCAGAAACAGCCCACATGTCAGACATTGAGGAAGGAGAGTTCTTCCCAACTCTCCACAAGGCTCCGTGGTAGTGGTGGGGTATTATTGTGCATTTAAGCAGCTAAAGTCTCATCTGACTTTAAATGTTCACGCAAGAGCAACAATTACTCTTTCCACATATGCTTCTCTCTCATGGTTCATCAGGACAAGGGTGAGATGGAATAGACAGAATTTAATCATTTTCGGAAACAACCAGTAGTCTTTAATCCTATCTGGAAACGGCATTTACTTCATGAACAGGAGAAATAAACAGGTGAGCCTTTCTGTAGGGGCTGTGGCTACAGCCATACCCACCACACCCTGCAGTTGCCACCAGAGGGAGCTCATGGGTTAAATATACTTGCAGTGTAGTTCTACTACCAGGAGAGAGTTCTTCTCCATATATACATGTATTTTTTGTAATACAGTAGGCTGACCATCCATGAATTTAAATGCCTTGTCCAAGGTATTACAATTAAGGAGCATCAAGACCATCATCAAATGGTGGTCTCTAAACTCAACGTTTTGTGCTCTATTATGCCAAACTGACGGCTTAGGTCCCTTCCCCAGATCTGACTCTACAGACTCAATCTGGGCCTAAAACCTTTTAGGGGCAGAAAGAAGCCTCTGTTGGCCATGAAAGAGGTGAATCAGCACTGTCCTGTTTCTAAAGGGGGACAACCATCATAAGACAGATTACAACTGCAGACATTCATCTAGGACTGGTTCCTGGAATAGGAGATGAGACTCAGAACTTGGAAAAGAGGCAGGGTTTAGGGAAATAAGGTTTTGAGCTTTATAATCTGCCTCCTTGTTCAGGCATCTTATATTTTCTCTTGGTATTAATTGTTGTTGTTGTTGTTTGCTGTCGAGTCGGCCCCGACTTATAGCGACCCCTCCTTGGGTTTTTGAGGCAGTATCACTATGGAACTAGGATTGCCCAACCTTCCTTCCAAGGAGTGGCTGGTGGGTTTGAACCGCCAGCCGTCTGGTTAGCAGGCAAGTGTCTTAGCCACTATGCTACCAGAGCTATATTTATTAGTAATAAACCTCAGAGCTTAAAAGGCCCTTAAAGGTCATTTTCTCTAATCTTCCACCTGGTAGATTAACTTTCCCAGTGAGTGGAAAACTTCAATGCTAGGACCCAGAGGGCCCAGTCCATCTTCTTCAAATAGCTCTAAATATTAGACAATTCTTTCCTACACTGGCCCTACATTTGATTCCATAGACTGAGAGCTACTAGTCCTGGGTCTGTTATCTGAGACCATAAAGGACATGTCTCCTGTCATTTCCACATAACAAGGCTTCAGAGAGCTGAAGACATTTGTGAAGTCCCCTTTCCACCTTTCCTCAGCTCAACTTCCCTCCACCAACAAATAGGCAGACTCCTTTCCTATAAAAGGAGTTTTTTATTTTTTTAAATCAATTATCCCACTGAACCGTAACATCAACCCTGTGGACTACTACTTCTACTTTACAGAGAAGAAAACAGGCTCAGGGAGGTAGATGATTTGCCCAGTTCAATCAGCTTCCAAGAGGCAGCAGATAACAGAGCCAAAGCTAGGTTTGCCTGCTATCAAAGTTCATGCTCAAAATCCCACCATCACCACCCACACAAATATAAATTCATTTAGATTTGGCTTCTTGGCTCTAAGAGAGGAAGCAGAGCACAGAAAAAAAGGATGGGGTTTCAGGCATAACCATCAGATGCTCAGATCCAAAGAATGTCTATGACTCAAGGGGTACACAGGACACACGTATACAAACATGACCATGCCACAGTCCAGTTTTTCCTTTCCCTTGCCCTCTAGCTCATCTTGCTCACCTTGACAGAGAAGATATTTGCAGTGTGTCCTGTGTGCATGGACAGCAGCTTCTTGTGGTGCAGTGGGTCCCACACAATCGTGTGCTGGTCATCAGAACCAGAAGCCAACAAGCTGCAAGCAGAGTGAGGAGTTCTGAGCTCTCCTCAAGTTCCCAGACCCCCTCGCCCAATCCCATGTTGCCATTGGTAAGAAGTTACGCCACAAAGACTCTGAAGGACAGCAGATGCCATAGAATTAAGATTATCTTGTAAACATCAGTTGATTCTCTTCTCTTTTTGTTCTGAGAATTCCCCAGTATTTCTTAAACACAGTGGCTTGTCAAAAAAACAAGGTATATGGATGGTCATCCAACCTTCCATCCATCTGGTATTAATTGTTTACCTGTGTGTTGAAATTGTGGACTAACCTTAGGAGTACAGGAGAGCAGGAAACTTTTCATTTGGGTCTGTTCTTTTCTTTCGCTCTACTAAGAGCAAACACAGCTCTTTCCTGAGCCTCCTCACTCCCTCCTCCAGTACCCTCTAGATGTTCTAGCTCATACTTACTCTCCTTTCTCATTCCATTCCAGACAGTTCACACATCCTGAGTGACCCTGGGGAGCAAAGGGAAGGGACAAGAAGAGAGTTGGTTAAAGGTACTCCTGGGGAACTCAACATCAAAAAGTGGGACTGAATAGGTAAACCAGCCTTTCTACTTCAATCTTTCCTAGGTGGATATGAGTGGCTAGAATTGAATAAACTGTCTAGCATATAATAATATGTAAAGTATTTTCACATTCATGATCTCACTTGATACTGACCACCTCTGAGCCATAAAGGCAGGTTTCTTTGACTTCATTTTGAAGAAAAGTAAACTGAAGCTCAGACAATGAGAAGTAGTGAATGTGAGGGCCAAATAAATTTCTGCTCCCATCAGGAGAGCAGACATCCCCTCAGCCACAGATAATTTGCCCAGGGGAACATCTGACTCAAGGGCAGCCAATTAACTGAAAGGCTGATCTTAATTTATTTATGCATTTAATGAGCACCCACTGCATGCCAAGCACTGTTCAGATATTGGGGATATAGTAGTACACAAAACAAAGTCTCTCATCATCTAGCGCTTACTTCAAGTAGGTGGAACCTGGTAAGGTAAGGTATTTAGGCCAGAGTCTTGATCTTGGGGATCTAAATTGAGAAACAATTTAGTAGCAGATGCTGAAGTTGAAAGCTTGCACAGAAAGAAATCATGAAGGCTCATGGCAAAGCTAAAGTTATGAGGAAACAGAATCCATGAATAAGCAGAAGATATGAAGGGGCAGAAAGGAGTCTCATATGGCTGAAGGAAAGAATAAGTCACTAGGCATTCCTACATATTGTTTTTTCTGACTCCTCATCTTCCTTTACTCTTAACACCATTTTGTTTTTCATTTAATTATTTCCCTGCCCCAAAGCAAACCACATGCTTCAAGAAGGGTGAACCCACTGTCCCTGCCACAGTGATAGGTTCAGGCTGAAGCCAAATAGAATTTGGCATCCCCTTAATCATAGGGACAGGTTCAGAAGTGAGCCTGTGACCCCAATCAGATGCAAGGGAAACACTGGGGAGCTTTTGGACAAGAAGTTTTCTTATTCTGAGGAGAGAGTCTATGGAAGAGATGTTTTTCTTCCTCTGGATGCTGGGTGTACTGATGTGACATCTGGAATTGCTGCATACATTGTGCCACCATGAAGGGAACCAGTCTGAGGGTAAAACCAACACAGAGAGGCCAGTCCAGCTGAGGAAATCACAGAAAAATGGAGATAGAGTGACCAGAGTAACCAACCTTAGGGCCTGCCCCACTCCTGGACATCTAGTTCAGTGAGCCAGTTAATTATTGCTTAAGAAATTTGAGTTAGGCTGTTTGCAGCCCAAAGTAACTCAACTCATTCTTCAGGTTTTAGCTTATCGGCACTTCCTTCAGGATGCCTTCTCTGTCCTGTAAGTTTGGGAGGGAGATGTACCCTTCTTATGGGATCCTACTGTCACACTGTGTTATGACTGCACTGACAAGATTGTTTTCTTCCATAACAATGAGCCCTGAGAAAGCAGACTTATATACTGTGTTCATTACATTCCCAAGGCCAGGTACAGTGCCTGGCATGATCTGTGCCTGAAGGAACAAGTGAGTCCAGCAGGACTAATGGGAAGAACTGAGATATGAACAAATCTAATCCCTGACTATCCAGTCAGAAAAGCATTTCCTTTGCCTTCTCTTTTCCTCTTACCTTTTGTCCTGTAAAGATTCCCATCTGGATTAAAATTCATTTATTTTCTGGTTCTCTGTTTCCATACATTATTGACACACTCACTCTGTTCAAACTCACTAGATCACTTGCTAACCTGAGGCCTCTCACTTTCCCATGGCACTTGGTTGAAACCCCACACATGGTCTGGTCATCTTCCTGGGTCAGAATCATGTTTGTCCTTGGCCTTCTCATTTTACCACCAGGCTATAAACTCTTTGTGCTTAAGAGTCACATTTTTATCTTGGAATCTCCCAGAACACTGAGGGCCTTGAATGACTGTCACTTAGAGGGTTTACAAAGAGAGCTACACACAGTGCTATGTATTTGTAGTAGGCAGAATAAAAGGCCCTCCAAAAGGTGTCCCTGCCCTAATCTTCGGAATCTATAAATATGTTACCTTAGGGGGCAAAAAGGACTTTTCAGATGTGATTAAGGTAAAGGACCTTGAGATGGGGAGATTATCCTGGATTAATTATGTGGGCCCAATCTAATCACATGCATATTTAAAATTGGAGAGCCTTTTCCAGCTGCAGAGAATTAGAAAATGAAGGCATGAAAGAGACCTGACCTCTTGTTGCCAGCTCTGAAGATAGAGGAAGGGGGGCATGAGCTAAGGAACATGGGGAAGCCTTTACAAGCTGGGAACAGCAAGGAAATGGATTCTCCCCTACAGCTTCCAGAAGAAACACAGCTCTGCCAATATCATGACTTTAGCCTGCTGAAACCCATACCAGACTTCTGATCTACAGAATTGTAAGACAACTAATTTGTGTTGTTTTAAGCCACTAAATTTGTTACAACAGCAGTAGGAAATGAATACAGCACTCTACCATTATCACATTTAAGAGATAGGTATCATTACTCATTTCACAGATTTAAAAAAAAAAAAAATGCTCAGAGAGGTTTGATAACCTGCCTAAGGTGGCATATCTAACTGTGATAGGAAGTAGGATTTTAACTCAAGAATACAGGCTCTTTTTTTTTTTTTTTTTTTTTTCTGTTTGCACTATTTAGCTACATTTAGCTTTTTTTTTTTTTTTCAAATTGTGATTTGGGTGAAAATTTACAGAGCAAATTCACTTTCCATACAGCAATCCACATACACTTTGTCTCATGACATTGACCACAGTTTACCACAATGCAACAGCTCCCCTCCCATTTCCTCCCCATAGTTACCCCTTCCCAGTGTCCATCCTTCCATGAATTCCTGTCCCTGAGCTGTCTCCCTGTGTATAAACAGCCCTTTTTTCTCTCATGATTGTTCTCTCCAAGGAGTGTATCTACCTCAGGTAAATGTTCAACTCATATGCCTGTCTTTTGTGTGGATGGAAGCCACAGGTGTGGGTTCAACTCCAGACCTGAAGGGCAACTAGGGGCTATAGTCTCAGTGGTTTCACCAGCCTCTATCAGACCAGCAAACCTAGTCCCCCCCGCTTTTCTTTTACCCAAATGATTTTGTTCCCTATTGTTCTCCCTATCTATCCAGGATCTCCTACATAGATTCCACTCCAGTAGCTGACAGTGGTAGCCGGGCACCATCTAGCTCTTCTACTCCCATAGTCGTATAGGCTGCAGCACATGGTGTACCAGTCACTAGGACTCATTCTTTCTATGAATCTTTGATTTTCTTTATTCTTCTTTGCTCTGGATGAGGAGAGACTCATTGTTGCATCTAGATGGCTGCTTGCAAGCTTGTAAGATCCCAGGCGCTACTCACCAAAGTAGGAGGTAGAACAATGTTTTGTGTAGTATGTTATGCCAATTGAGCTTGATGTCCCCTGTGACAATGGTCCCGAGCCCACAGGTTCAACTACTCGCTCCCTCTGGGTAGCTGGCTGTAACTAAGAAGTGACTACAACCTTGTCCCTTGTCAGCTCTACTATACACCTGGGAATTCTTACAGATCATACAAATACACTTATAGGACCGCTGTCTGCCAACCCTATACATGGTCTTGGGTATACTCCCTGATTCACAGACATACCTAATAGTTCAGCCTGTAGAACTCAGGCTCTTAAATACTATCTGAGAATTGCATTAATGCTTCTTCTTCTTTTTTTTTTTTTAAATTGTGATTTGGGTGGAAATTTACAGAGCAAATTCACTTTCCACACAGCAGTTCACATACACTTTGTCTCATGATATTGACCACAATTTACCACAATGCAACAGCTGCATTAATGCTTCTTGAATGACTGTATTTGTCCAAGACATTTGTACTCAAATCAATAATTCACCCAAAGTACAGAAGACAGGGGCCACAGTGAACAAATATACTCATGATTCATTTTTACCTGTTAAAAAATAGCTAAGAGACAGGTGACTTGGAGAAAGTATACAAAGAAAGCTCAGAGTAGGTTATATAAAAATGCACACAAAGTAACCACTGACAAAAAAAAAAATAAATAAATAAAAGGCTTTACAAGTTAGAACATGCATTAGGGAACCTACTTTACAAGAAACAGTGTTCAAGAGGAGTTATTTTTACTTTCATAAATAAGACTGACTTGGGTATGGTACATGATCTATAATTATGCTGAAGAATACAATGGAAGAAAATGTGCTTATGACATATCAGGATTATAAAGTAGATAAAAAGGAAGGGGTGAAAATCTCGAACTTTTATGGAATTGAGAGGAGGACTGATTAGAGGTGGCTCCTAGAGAGGAATATACCTCTAGTGTGCCTCCCTGAAGTCCTGGAAATGTAACTACTTAGGGTAAGCCTTGCAAACCAGAGAACTGGAGGAAACAGGAAGTGCACAGGGAAAGGATCTGCAATAAAAGCTCCAAATCTTGCTTAAGTTCCAAATTACAACCTAACGCTCGGTTCCTACTTAAATTTTATTAAATATTGCTTATAATCACTATTTATTATAAATCCCTATAATTTGCTAGATAGCACAGTGTCTGAAGTACAATGCTGCCAGTGATAGGATAATATCCATATGCCTACAAGGAAGACCAGTTAATACTACTATTATTCAAATTTATGTATCAACCATCAAAGTCAAAGATGAGGAAACTGAAGATTTTTACCAACTTTTGCAGTCTGAAATTGACCAAACATGCAATCAAGATGTGTTGTTTATCATTGGTGACTGGAATGCAAAAGTTGGAAACAAAGAAGAATCACTGGCAGTTGAAAAATATGGCCTTGGTGATAGAAATAATGCCAGAAATTGCATGACAGAAGTTTGCAAGACCAACGACTTATTCATCGTAAATACTTTTTTCCAACAACATAAACAGTGGCTATACACATGGACTTTGCCAGATGGAGTACATAGGAATCAGACTGGCTACATCTGTGGAAAGAGGCACTG